CTGAGGAGCGGCCCTGAGGACAGACGTTGGGCAGGGGGGAGGGGCCGGCCCGGCCGGCGGTTGTTACTCGAGCGCCGCGGCTACAGGCCCCCCACCGCAGGGTGGACCGCCGAGGCGGAGGCGGAGGCGGCCGGCCCTGGTGAGTAAGGGCCCCTTCCCCCACGCACTCGCCACCGTCGCGGCAGTGCCCCTGGCAGCAGCCCTTCCTCTCTGCCGTCTGCCGGGCGGGCCGGGCTCTGGGGGCCGGCGTAACCCTTCGCGAGGCAGCTGCGTGCACTAGGCCGGAGCAGCCCCCATCCGGCGGAGAGGCCCGGGGCGCTGCGCTTATCTGGCACCGAGCTTGGGCCGGGGGCGCCCCGCTCCTGCCCTTTCGCCCTCTCCCTCCCGGACCCAGGCTTGGCTGCAGTTTCGCAGGGAGTCCTCTCGCTCCGAGGCCTGAGGGGAGGCTGGGGTGGCATGGGTTAGCGGGCCGAGGGGAGGTTTGCACCGGTCCTGCGAGCGTGCTCTTGCCCTGCAGCTGGTGGTTTGCACCCACTGCCTCCCCCGCCCTGCGGTTGCGCCCAAACCTCCAACCCTCGGGAGTATTGTGCCGCCAGGAGATAAAATGCATCTGATGTTCACCCGCCACCAGCAGCCCCACACTCACCCCAGTGGGTAATGCAGACCGTTCTCCACCCCCACCTCCTCCACCCCTCCAATCAGACTCTGCTGAAGCTCCTTAGAGCCACCAAAGGTAGTGACACCCCGTTACATCTCCACGTAACATGTTCATTGTCAGGGATGTCTTCTGTAGAAATGATAAATGCCCCTGCCTCACCTGGAAGTCTGTTTTCAAGATTTAAGATCCCACATGCTCTTCTTTGAAGAAGTCGAGCTTTGATCACATCTAGTTGTGCATCCTTCCCCCACCACAGACACAGACACCTACACACACACATACACTGTGTCTCTCTCTCTCTCTCTCTCTCATACACTTCCTGATTGCCGAGCAGCCCCTGTCATCGAGGATCCATTGTCAGAAATGGCTTGTGCCAATCAAAGGAATGCTTTTGCCTTTGGAGAAGGCTTTCCACAACCTCGTTCACAGGATGTTCCCGCGTGAGTCTGTCTTTGATTGCTCCCGGATACTCCCCGTGTTCAAGCATCGTTATCACAGTGTTTCCCTTAAATGCATCTCCCGTCGATCCTCAGTAACACCCGAGTGATGTTTTTTCCCAGTTAATTAGATACATACGGTGTGTGGGAATTTCATCTGTTTTGTTGTAATGTTTAACATCTATTGTCAAGGCAAGGTACATAAATAAGGTAGTATTTGGGGAAGAATGTCTGTATTTATTCCCAGAGGATGGCCGGGCCCGTATTGTTCTGGGAATGGCAACTAGCACATGCTTTGTTGACAACATATGTACGCTTAGGGAAAGAAGAGCTGCTGTTGCTGGGATGTGTGTGTACATGCTAAATACAGGTGATGTTCCCGAGTGGGGCTGTTTTGTGAGTGGCACAGCACTGATTGTCAGCGCTAGTAAGCAGCTTGGTTGTTTGTATCACAACTGTACACATGTATTAGATAGATACTACCTTTAGTGTAATTGTGTTTAAAATGTTCGCCACTAGTTTTAGTGATCCTAGAAATGTCGTTCAGTGGTTCCTAACCTTTCTTTGGGGTCATGGAATCCTTTAGGGCCCTCTTCTCAGTGAAATAGACATAATTTTGTATATAACTACAGTTGTCTTGACGCTGGTCCTGGAACCTCAGGTTAAGATCTATATTGTGCGAAAGCAAAAGGAACTTGGGTTTTGTGTTTTGGTTTTTTTAGTTATTTTATCTGCCACTGAGTAATGAACAGCAAAGTACCTTATGTATGTATGCTGTGTTTTGTTCTTTGATAATGGTGGGTTAAGTAATTGTAAGATATTATTTCCTGTCTTTCTGTAAAAAGGAGATGTATGTGAGAGTCTTTCAGAAAAAAGTTAAAACTGGAGTCAAAATAGTTTGTTGAAATGTAACCAGTTGATAATATATGTTCCTGGCTCCATATTCTAAATGTAGCAAATTTCAACAGCAAAGTCCGTGATCTGTTTTATAATACCTGTACAGAATCTATGTGTGTTGGTTGAAATTGATCTGATCTGTTAAAAGAAGGCTTTGTCATTCCCATAGTAGAGTACATGCTCTGTGAAGAGGATTTTTTTCCAACTCTTTTAAATATGATTTCATCTTTATTAAGGGTGATGGTGCCATCAAAAATCATCAACCTAAAAATTTTGTTATAATGGAAGGGTTTTAATTGTAGTTAGGGAATTCAGTCTGCACATTTAGAATATAGAACTAGGGATGAACTTTGCACTATTCTATCAATAAGCAGGTGATAAATATCAGCTATTTTTGTTTAAATTACTCTGCACCCATCTTTTGCCTTTTGATCGTATTTCAATCAAGAGACATTTATTCCAGCTTGTGATAGTGTTATGATGAGCAGTGACATTAAATAAGCACAGTCTCCAGCTCTCTAGAAGCTTATGGTTCTGACAATATATTTCACATAAATAATCCTATGACACCTTCATATTTTTTGCATTTTGGGGGGTTCTGAAAGGATAAGGAATTCATGGTTTTAACCAGCATTTTGGAAGGCAAGGGAGCCTTGGAATCTTGCAGAGAACCTGTTCCACACACCTGAAGAATAGTATTTATTCTAATAATTATGCAGTGTATCCTGTGAAGTTTGAAAGCATGCTGAGGTTGCAAATATTGCATTTTTTATTATCTAATAAACATGCTTGAAGTGGCTTATATTATAGGTTATATTTTTTTGTTCATGTCACGCCTGAAGTTTTATATCGGAAATTATTTGCCTATTCTAAACCCTAACCATTTCACAGTTGCAAATGTGTTACTTTTCTTTGTCAATGTAGTATAGTGACAAACCATTAAAATCTGAGGGGACAGTGTTTTTGGTATAGTATTGCAGAACCTCTTCTAACCAGTCACTTACTTAGTTAAACACCCACACCCCATAGAGCAGCTGATCATATAACACATGGCTGTGAGAACAGCATTCTCTTCCTTCCAGATTCAGAGCTTGGAAGCTGGAAAACAATTGCACAGCAGTGAAACACTTAAGGAGTAGTGGTGCCAGCAGCTCACTCTCATTAATACAAACAGCTTGCTTTAGTTGCTTCAACACTCAGCTTCGACACCCTTCCCTTAGGAGGTTTCAGATCAGCAGCTCCTACTCAAGGGAAACAGCAGCACCTACTTTCTGCAACTGTGGCCTCAAGATCTGATTCATGACACCCAGAGCTGTTTCCATTTCTGCTCTAAGTATGGGAAGTAATCTTGTAGTGTGGTAAGAAACTACTTTTCAAGTGTGTGGGGAAAAAAATTGATTAGTAATGCTACTAATGTGATTTTGTTTTTGAATATCTGAAGCCATCAAAGAAGTAAACTATAATGTGAACTGTTAAAAAAAGAAGTCACCCTTTTCTCAAGGGTTTTAGATAATTTTACCAAAAATGTAAATGTACTCTTGAGTTTTTATTTCCCTTGTTCTACAGTCAGTTGAGAGACAGCCAAAAAAAAAAAAAGAAAAAAAAGGTGAATTGTCTTGTATTTTGAGCCAAAACCTTTGAAACTAGTTTTTCTAAAAGAGGTAACTGTATTTCCTTGTTGGGAACTCTTGGGTCTTGTGCTGTCATTTTAAGTATGATATTTTTCTCAGCTATTGTCATCATTCAGTCAATTAGCACTTGAATTTACTTTGATAGAGGTGACCTTGTGTTGCGGGTAGTGACTTTAGCTGAAGAAGGATCAGGGAGACTCATTCTTTGGAGCCACGCAGAACTAGATTTAAATCCCAGCTCCACCATTTACTGGCTTTATGGCAGTGAGCAAGTCACCTTGACCTCTCTGGCCTCAGTTTCCTCATCAGCAGAATGGGATTTGTTAGGAGGATTAGAGATAATCTATGCAAACTCCTAGCATAGTTCCTAGCATATGTTCATATTAGGAACTCAGTACATGGTAGGATATGGGGCATGTTGGAGTAAAACTACAGATTGTTTTGGCTTATGACAAGATTTAGAGGTTTGGCGCTGCGATCTGCATTCTTTCATTTGTGCAGATTTGGGATGAAAAAATTGCAAATATTTGACTTGGAGCATACCTAAGTCTTGCAGGTGCAATGTGTTTGTTGGAACTTTGATTTGTTGCCCTACGGCTGGCTGAACTTCATGGAGATGATAAAACCTAGCTCCAAATTCTGCAGGGTTACCCACAGACTGTGCTTGTTTTAAGCCTATTCAGAGCTTATGTGGTGAAAGGGGTGTTTTAGGACATTAACATATCTCAATGAGTTCTGTGTCTAGAGTTGAATCACGTGCAAAGCCTTGTGTAAATTTTCATGTTTAATGCAAGCCATAAAGTACTTGGTAGAATCAGCGGAGACATCAGTTGCTTATTTTAGTTAGTTTGTTTATATAGCAGTTAAGTTTGATTTTTAAAAAGCAATTATGAACATATTTTCTTATAGAATTCCCATTGCTCTTCTGAGGTTTTGATCATAAACTGTTAGTAGGTTTGAGTGCCTTATGCATTTTTACTTTGGTGGAGGAAGGAAAAAAAAGTCAGGTTCCTTTACCTGTCAGATTTTATCAACTCTTTGGTCCGGCCTGTAGCTCACTTGGGAGAGTGCGGTGCTGATAACAACAAGCCAAGGGTTGAGATCCCTGTACTGGTCATCTTTAAAAAAAAAAAAAAAAATGTATCAGCTCTTTGCTTTGCACATATAGATTATGTACAGTTCCCTGCCTTTTTTTTTTTTAGCCAAAAGCAGTTTTATGGTAAAATATGACATTACTGTTTTCCTTTTTTTTTAACATAGTTTGAGATTGATTGCTTTGGAAAGTAGATTCAATCAAGGCCATGTATACAGTTTTATTCAGTACATACAGCTTTTAAAATAGGATTTCTTGGGTTACTATAGAATTAAGTTATTCTGTTATTTTTGCAGGATAGCATTGTGTTAAGTCTGTGAGCTCACAAGAGTTACCTAGAGACTTTTTGAATAAGGTAGACACATCAGTAATACATTAGGATTTTCCTCAAGGAAATCTGGTAATCCTTATTTTCTTTTATTA